CTTCGTTATAAATTGATATCTCTGGTTCCTTACTTTCAGTCTTGTAGGTTTGTTTTACTTTATATGCTTCTTGGTCATTTTTTGAGCCATTCTCTCTTGTTTTCTTATTGTGAACTAAAATGGTCTGTTTTCTCTGGGACATTGTTGTTGTACTTGTATTGAATTGATGATTGTGTATTGATGTGTCTGTAGGCTCTCGCAAGCTGTCTCCTGTGGGTGTGGTTAGAAACCAGAAGTGTGGGCACTGTTCTCTGTATGCCATTCGTGCTTCTCGGTTTAGGTGGGTTGGCTTGGCGTTGGCTGCTGTCTGTCATTGACCAGGTGATGTAGGAGCTGGTTTTGGCTCTTGCCCAGGGGGTGGTGCTGTAGAGAGAATGGTTATGACTGGGGTGTATGGGCACGGTTCTTATCTCCTGTCAATTGGGAAAGAGGAAAACCTCCTCAAACCACACACATACACAAGAAAACAACCAACAATAAAAAGAGAAAATAATGAATGAGAGAAACTAAATAAAACATGCAGCAACCAAGAAAAACAGAGAAGAGCAACAGGAAAATGAACACTTAGAAAAGCCAGGGAGAGGAGCTGAGCCTGCCTGAATCCAGGCTCCACAGCTGCACAGCCCGGTGCCTCCTCACCCTGCCGCCGCTCCCAGCCACATGGCTCCGAACTCCCAGATAGCAGAGTCTGTTTTGGGGACAATTGAGAGTGGAAGCTGGCCATACCTCTGGTCACCAGGGGAGCCTGGTGAAAAACAAATGAATTGCACCTTTCCCGTGTGTGACTCTGCCCTTCCTGTCACCAAAGCTTTTCACAAATGTTCAAGATGGTTGCACCGCCTCTGGCTGGCTGTTTGCCAGTCAGTGCCCTCTCACACCGTCTCTGCCCAGCTTCTTCCAGTAAGCACTCAGTCCACTTCTCTATCCTTTCCTCGGAAGTTCAGGGAGCCAGGATTTACATCTGCATCTGTTTCATTTGGTCTCTCATATCTTTGCTGTAGAGGATCCTGTGTAGTGAGTCCACCTAGTCCACCACCTTGCCAGAAGTTGGTCAGTTTTTTTATATAGAGGCAGCAAGTCCTTATTTCTTCCCCACATTGTAGCCTGCAGGGTTCAGTGCTACAGAGGAAAGGGCTCTGGGTGCATAATCTTGCATTTTGGTCTCATCTGGAATCTGAGCTCTTCTGAAGGATTGGAACAGAGTTTTAGGGTTCCTTCCAGCTTATAAGTGTATAAAAGCAAACTTAATTAGATTATTCTTAATCTAAAATGCACCTTCCTTTTTTTCTCTTTTAAGATGCTGTGGTTAGAAATGTATATTACAAGTATTTTCATCCTAAAGAAGCCCTAGTTTCCAATGGAGTCTTGAACAGGTAAGCGTGTTGAAACAGAAATAATTTTATAAATGATTCTCAGCTTTTCTCCATGAATCTTCCCTCATCTCTTCTCACATTCTTTTCACTGCCCCTTCTCCCTTTCTTACTTTTTTGTTTTACGATTATAATATGTCTTCCCATCCACCAAGTTATGTTCCTCCAGTTTTATGAAACCCTACTCCACATTCACCTTATGTAGTTAACTGGAAACCTTGTCCAAATGGGACTAGGCAATAAAAGGACTGTTCATTTACGTAATTGAAAAGCCTGGAATTAGGCCAGGCTGAGCATGTGGATTGGTGGAATGGTGCATGATGTCCGCAGGGCTCCAGCTCCATTTTTCTGCCCTCACTTCTCTTGGCTCTGCTCTCCTGTGTGTGTAGACTTCACCTCAAGACAGAGGAATCGTTAGAACAGTTACCAAATCCATGACCTCATGCCACACCATCTAGGGCAGGAAGAGGAGAGTGGGCCTTGGTCCCAGCATTCCCAGCAAAAATAGCCCTGAGATTTCCTCTGTGTGAACTGAGGCCATATGTCTGTTCTAAACCAGTTGATGGGGCAAAGGACACAGAATACCCTGATGGCTTAGCTAGGCCATGTCTCCACCCTTGAGCCTGACATGGAGTTACTTTTCTCTGATCCATTCCATCCCAAAGCTGAAATTACGGACTCTTGTTGTTGTTGTCAGGTGCCATCGAGTC